TCCAGTCGTTGTAATTCCATTTCCACAGTTTTCACATGTAATTTTCGAGTTTGTTTCACACAAATTTTTGTTGTCAAAAGGTTTACATGTTTTGTTCCTTAAATAAAAATCGGTTGGACATTTCAGGCATTCATTTTCTCCATTCTGAAGTTCACAATTTCCGTTGTTATTTACACAAATATTTCCAATATAATTTGTTTTGCTTTGACATTCGACACAACTTCCTTCTTTGAGTTCAAAAGGCGGATAACACACCTTACATTCCGCTTCATAATTTCCATATTTTTGACACAATTTACAATTAGATTTATTCTTGTAACATTCGTCACAAGTGCTCGAAGTGTTTTGGTATAGGTGGTTAGGACATTCACATTGATAATCATTGACTACAAATCTGTCTACACAAGAAATACACTGATACTTTTCAGTTTGACTGCATGTTTTACAATTTGGCATTTTACTACATGGAGAGCATCGTTTTTCTTCTGGAAAATATCCAATTTTGCATTTTTGGCATCCACTAACAACATCACACATGTTTATTTCACAATTATCATCACATTCAACGCATTGATTGTTGTTGAAATACCTTCCATTCTCACATGTTAAACACCCATTTACTTGGTTGTTTAAACACGTCAGACATTCTTCATGACATTTAAAACAAGTCATATTATTTTTATAATAACCATTCATGCATTCAGTACAACCCTGGATGGTATCACACTTGTTTGTTGTACAATAAGAACTGCACATTAAACATTTATTATTTTGAATATATGATCCTTGTTTGCAAGATAGACAGTTTGTACTTTGTAAAGAACATGTCTTGCAATTTGAATCACATGGCGTACACCCATTGTTTTCTTGATAATAACCATTCCAACATTGTCTACATCCGGTTTGAGTTTCACAATTATAGCAATATTGGCATGACAAGCACTTTCCATTATACAGATATTTTCCTGTATTACAATCTGTACACATTTCTTTAGAACTGCATGTTTTGCAATTACTGCTACAATAATCGCACTCAAATTCATTGTTTAAATATAATCCATCATAACAAGAAGAACATACTGATGGATTCGAATTGCATTGTTTACATATAGCGTTTTTACATGGAACACATTCTGGTAAAATACGATTGGCTAAATAATAATTATCATTACAAATATAACAAAAATTGGGATTATTTTGTGAACAAATGTTACAATTTGCTATATTACATGTATCTCTTTTAATTTCAGTCTTCTTGTTGACTAAATAATCTTCAAGCCTAAACTCTTTTTGCTTATTTGTAAACTTCATTTTTAATTCGGTTCCATCTGGCAAGTTTACATTATGTTCTGTGTTTATACCACATCCTATTGTTGTATACATATCATATTCACTTATTGATATTAAAAACCCTTCTACACTCCACCCATACGAAGTTGGACATTCAACATTAGTATAAACACAAACAATTGTGTTTTCTATTTTACACCATTTTAGGCTGTCAGACAATACAAACAACAAGATAAACATCATACTGAATATATCTCAAGTTTTTTAAATCAAACATTTCATTTGTAAAACATCAAACTACAATGCTTTTGTTGATATTAAGAATAACTATTAATAATAATTATATTAAAAATAAATAATTATTTGTTTTCAAATAATTAAAAACATTACAATTATAATTTCAAAACCTAAACATGTTTAATTTATTAAAAAAAACTTTTATTTGTGTTATGCCAACATAATAAAAAAATATATCTTGACTTTTCTATTTACCAGATTTTATTATTATATTTGTAAAAAAATAATTACTTGAAATGTAACAAATATTACATTGTAAAATTATAAAACAAATTCTTCAAAAATAAAGTATTAATTCCCATTACTATAGCCTTTTTTTAAATTAACATTTTGATGATAAAATTTTAATGATTACTACAAATATTACAATCATAACTTTTTCAATTTTTTTTGAAAAACAATAAAAAATGGTAAACAATATAATAATTTGTCTATAATAGAGAGGTTATTATTACAATTATTGACTGTAAATTAAATACATTTTACATCTAAAATTTTATAAATTAACGAGAATTAAAATTATTTTTTTAAAAAACATGTATTAAAATAATAATAAAAATACAAGAGAGTCTAACAACGTTTTTATCGAAATTGATTTTTTTGAATTAAAAACAATTTAAAATTTAATAAAATAACATTGTTTAATTCCTAAATGAACGGGATACTTATTCATGTTTTTTGACAAAAAAATAACAAAGTAAAATAAGCGTTTTTGCAAATGTAATTTATCAACAAAAAGTTGTTGTATAATAAAATATAACACACTTCAACATTTACCCTGTTTTTTTTCAGTGTTAATGGTTCCCAAAACTGCATTTAAAAAAAATAACACATATTTTAACATTGCCAAAAGTCAGAAACTAAACAGATAAGCTTGAAAAACCATGATTTTATTTTTTTTCAAAATTTTTTTTATTTATCAAAAATAGTACAATTAAATAATAATAATTTAAGTAATTACTTATTAAAACAATTATAATTTAGTTATTAATTTAAAATTGTGTTTTGTTTGACTTATGACAGTTTGCCAACTTTTCACAAATCTTAATATTTGGTGAATAACGAAAAATATAAAATTTCGGTGAATTAGAATGGTAGTGAAAAAATTATAATTTTTAATTAACTTGAATTAGATATATTATATCCCTTAACTGTTGAAAAATAAATATTCTAATAAATATTTAATAAAATAATTATTTAATATTTTATATTATTTTCAATTGTGATAACTTTATGGGAATAAAAAATAATTTGCCTAAAATTATCTTTACCGAATTTGTTGAATGCCGAAACAAAAAATGAACAATTTACAAAGATAAAAATCAAAAACATAGACGCACTTAATTTGAATAATTGTGATTGAAATATGTAGAACACACTTTTTGAATATGCTTATTTAGGTATTTTATGATTTATGTAATAAGTTATATTGTTTTTGAATTGATCAATAAATTATTGTTCAACTTTGATTTGTCATTTCGCACATCATGTCAACATTTTGTTGTTGTTAATCATAAATTTAAGACCGTTATTTTATTTAATGTGGTCAAAAATTGACAACAACTTGTTTTAACCTTTAACATTGTTTCAATAAACCATTTTATTTAACGTTTTTTTAACAACAATCAATTAATGTTTAACCTTCAAACATTAAAACTATTTTTTATATCTCATGTTCACATTTTTGCGAGCATAAAGTAAAAACCTGAAATTGTTGCAAAATGTGAAATTATACTAATGTTTGTGTTATAATTTAAAGCCGGGTTTTATGTTTTCAATTCTACAATGTAAAAACACCTTTTGTTTGAACACTTTTTTGAAAATGTAGTTGTTAATAGTTGACCTTTTATGCTAACCGTTGTTAGAAAATTAGAATTAATAATCAAATGATGATGTCTTTATCTAACTTTCTATCGATATTTTAATCTTATAAAACATCTTAAAATATGTGTTGTTAGTAAATATTAATACAACAGTTATTAAATTGATTGTATATAATATCTCGTTTATTTATTATCAACAAATAGTTGTTTAAACATAATTGAGTTTATTTATGTAGTTACATCTATAAAGTGATCACAATAGTTCAAAATTGTTTTTTATTGTAGTTTAAACAAAATGGTGGTAATTTTTCAAATGTAACAATCAACAACCAAAAATATATTGTCATACACAACTAATAATCTACTGTAAAATATATTCAACAATTTTATTTAGTTTCAACACTTTATATTATACTTAAATTTTTTTATTTGAAGTTTTTATTGTGTTGACTAATTTGTTGTGTGAATAATTATAAACGTTGTTATTTATTTGTTGAGTTAACCATTATTTAACACAATATGATTACAAAAAAATATTTCCAATTTTATTTTAAATTGAAACAAAATTTATGTAATAATAAAAGGTGTTTTTGTAAACAGTTTTTCAAATTGTTAGTGGTGTTATTAAATACATTATAATTGATTGTCACAATTTTATTATGGATTTTAGCATTTGTCATGTTACTTTAATTCAAAAGTACAATTACTGTTTTCGATGACAATTTTACAATTTCAATTAAACTTTCATAATCGACAATGATTGTACATTAACAAATCAATTAATCAAAAAAATCAATTTAACAATCTTTGTTATACTATAATCATCTATGGATAATGTTTTTCTTTGTTCTTTAATTACAATCAAAGCAAAACATGTATATTTATTATATTAATGTCGTTTTTTGTCAAGTAATTTGTATTTGTAATCACTTGTCAGTTTTTTGTTTAAAACTTTTTATATTGTTTTGTTAATTGTGTTGATTGTTTTCCATTTTATAAAATAATCTAACAGTGTATTGACTAAAAAATATGATTGAAATATTTTGTGTTGATCTTTAAAAGGTGGAAATAGTGTCAATTTAAAACAATTGTTAAGACGTATATTTTACGTTTTATGTTGTTGTGTGTAAACTCAATTGAAAATAAAATCAATTTTATTTTGATTTGTGAAACACGTTTATAAAAAACACAACAAGTCGAAAATAGCTTTTGATTACCTTTCATTTTTATCAAAAAAATAAATTATGCATAGTTTGTTTTTTAATAGCTAAATAACTATTAAATTATGGCATTTTTCTAATATTTTTTTATAAATTTTTATAGTTGTTTTTTTAATTCAAAATTAATCTAAATTATAATTAAATTTTCGG